ATAGTCTCTGTCATTGTTTTTTTCCCCCTGTTCACCGATATTGGTAACCATGATTTACAGTTCACAGTAATGATCATCCCATCATTCTGAGGGATGTGACCAAAGTGTGCAGTTTAAGTGCATTGTAATCATAAACATTAGCAATACATCTTTGGCTTTGCCTATGGACTAACCATTGTGCCTCATACAAGTTAAATTTTTTAACATTATGAGTGTGATGATCATGTTTTATAAGAGAGTGATTATAATACCAGCAACAGCATGATGACATCACTGAAAGAAAGCTCAACGACTGTGTAATATTAATTACATATGGAAGGACAATGTAACTGATTATGAAGGTAAATAACAAAAACAGAGCATACTGTGCAACATGCAGAAAAGAGTTTGGTATGTGTATGGCGGAGAAGGGGATGTAAAAGCACATATGGAGACTGAAATTTACAAGTCCAGAATGAGACAGACAGGTACTTCAAAATCAATCAAAAGTTTAATTTCTCCCAAAGACACCAATGCTTAGTTGAAAATAGTGGCTGCTGAATTAGCTTGGGCGTATCACATGAACCAATATGCATTATTGTATCGTGCCTTTCATTGCTCTATGGAACGGAGTAAGGTTTTATTTCCTGATTCAGAAAATGTCTCCCCTAGCTCTTAAGGTAATTTTACTTGAAAAATGGAGTTTCAAATTGTCTTCTTGATGTCTAAGATTTTAATGAAACCACAAACACATAAAACAAAGTGTGTTATATCTGTCCAAAGACAAAGTAGACTTGGCTTATTTATTTGCTTTCAGGGCAAATGTTAATTTTGACAAATTCTATTCAGTCTCTAAACTTCTTACCAAAGAAAATGAAATGATCTCATCGCCTAAACATCTTATACAGAACACTGTTTAAAGAGGGGTGTGGTTTGCTTACCTGCGATACAGAAGTTTTCATAATGAAAGTGTTTGGGCATTTCAGCTTCCTCAAAATGTGCGGAAGCATTTAACGACATTTTTGACTATAGAAATGGCAGGAGACAGCTTCCTTAAACATGTACCTACAAGATGGCGATCATTGTTGCCAGCCATAGAAAAGACGTTATAATGTCTTTTCTGCCATAAAATCATATTTTCAAAGCGTGGAACAAGAAGAATGTCCTGCTCCAATTTGAGGATGAGAACGGAGAGAAGAATTACAGTGAAACAGAAATAAACATGCTGGTTCTCCAAAACTGTCTGATAATCCTTGAAGAGGTCATAAGAAGTCTAGAAAAGGATGAACCATCTGAATCTCAATTATTCAATGTTATATGCAGGTTGCTACAAAAACTTCAAACAGAAAAAAAAAAGACTAATTTTTGGAAATAAGACTGTTTCAGAACTTAAAAAAAAATGTCCCTAGAAAAAAGTAACCAAATTAAACAGGACTTTCTGAATTTCTTCACTAAAACTGTAAATTTATTTGAAATCTAACTTCAGTTTCACAAGTTCAAATTACCTCTATGCTTTAAAATCATTTTTTCTGGGGAAGAGAGGTTTAACTTATGATAACATACAATGTGCTTCAGAATGTTTTAAAAACAATGGGCATTTTAGATATAGAAATGGTTAATTTATAGATGCAAAGGACCTGATTGACAAACAGTTGGTTTACCAAAGCAAGTCTGTAGATACAAAATGGGTGGACATTTTGGAGAACCAGAAACAAATTCCTACAAGTTTAAAAACCTGCTGCACTAGTAATTAAAATCCTAACTGTTCTATGCTCAAACACTTTTGTTGAGGGAATGTTTAGCTTGATGTCATCTGTGCCAACAAGAATCAGTGCAATGCAGGCAGAGGAACAGAGCTGCAAGTCAAAAGTAATTTTATATTTGGCTGTATTTGGTTTTACCATTACATAAAATAAAAGATGTCCTAAAGGCTCCAGGCAGTTCAGAGAAATATTGATGAAAAAGGAAACAAAAAGAATAAAAAATATCCCACTCTATCATGGGACAGAAACATATCATTTTTTAAAACTGTAATAGGAGTAATATCTGTTTAACAAGTTCTACTGTATTTATACTGTCCTTCATAAAATTCCTATATTTATGTATCTTAATATACATATAGAAGATAGAATAATATAGCCTACAAAATTTGAATATGTGATAAAGAGTTTAAGAAAGAGTTAAAATAAGTTGCTGAACCAGAGGACAGAAACATAAAAATATTATGCTGTATAGCACAGGGAGATCAGCTCGGTGCTTTGTGACTGCCTAGAGGGGTGGGATAGGGAGAGTGGGAGGGAGACACAAGAGGGAGGAGATATGGGTATGTATGTATGTGTATGTATAGCTGATTCACTTTGTTATACACAGAAACTAACACACCATTGTAAAGCAATTATACTCCAATAAAGATGTTTAAAAATATATATATATATTATGCTATAAAAGTTGTATTTTTCTCACAAATTATTTTCTTAATTAGTCCTTCTATTAATTATTATTAGTTGCCACTTTTAATGAGTCCTATTGCTATTTTAAGTAATAGCATTTATGCAACAGAAAAAAATACAACGGAATATATCATTGCAAGTAAAAACTTATTTTTCGTGTTTTTATGTTAATATATGTGTCTAATTATTATGTATTTTCACACCCATCCATTTGGCAAAAATAAAAAAGACATTTCCAAATGTTAGCAAGGTTGTTTAGAAAAGAAAACCTTATCAGCTGCTTGTGGAGCATAAGCTGGCACAACCACTTTGTGAAATAATCTGGCAATATCTAGCATATTACTTTTCTATCGCTGTGGAACAAAATACCAGAAACGTAGTGTCTTAAAACACATTTATTATCTCACAGTTTCTGTGGGCCAGGATTACGGGCACAGCTGAGCTGGTTCCTCTGCTCAGGGTCTCACAAAGCTGCAATCAAGGTGTAAGTCACGTTGTCTTCTCATCTGGAGGCTTGACTGGGGAAGAATCCACTTCCAAGCCATCTCAGGCTGTTGGCAGAATTCATTTCCTTGTGGTTGTAGGGCTGAGGGCCCTGGCTTCTTACTGGCTGTCAGCTGGAGGCTGCACCCAGGTGCTAGAAACCATCTGCAGTTCCCTGCCACGTGGCCCTCTCCATAGGCAGTTCTCAACATGAAAGCTCACTTCTTCAAGGCCAGCAGGAGAGTGTCTAGCTCTGGTCTGCTAAGACAGAGACTTATAATGAAATGTAATCATCCTTGCCATATTCTATTGGCCAGAAGTAAGTCAAAGCTCCCACCCACACTCAAGGGGTAGGGATTATACAGGGTAAGAGCAAGGGGCAAAGATCATGGGGGCCATCTGAGAATTCTGCCTATCACATCTCATAAGGTTAAAGATGCAATGTCTTAGGATCTAGCAGTTTCCCTGTACACACAAAGACACGTACAAGAATGTTCACAGCAGTGTTGTTTGTAATAGCAAAACTACTGTTCTATAATTTAAAATTAAAAATAAATTTTAATACAAAAAGATATAGGCAGAGAGACATTAGCTAACAAAACACCATGTATGGTATGATAACATTTTTGTAAAAGTAACATATATATAGGAATTCTGCTTCAGCAGTGGGCTACTGTTGTTGTCTTGAACAAATCCTCCCACCACAGAGAATAGCTGGACAAAATATAAAAAACATTAAGGCACTGAAGAGCTACCACAGCAGTGAGAATCTGTGGATCCAAGATCTGGAAGAAAAGAAAGGGAACCCATGAGAGGTGAGCCTGATGTTTGCTGTTACTTTTCACTTGAAGTGATTGCTAATTCTGAAAGCAGTGGCTGAAAAACTGAGTAGAGCTTTTGACTGTCTCATGGGGCTGAAGAGGTTGGGTCAAGGAAGAGAGGCCCTAGTAAATACCCCAGACTTTTGGTCCAGACCCTCATGGGATACTCTAACTAGGAGTAAGGGTGAACTGGAAAGAAACTAGTTTTCACAAACACTAAAGTCCAGCTCTGAATAATATTAGCTCCTGATTGGAATAAAATGATCTGTCCTCAGCTTAGCTGCGGTCACGCACACTTGCCTCCAAGTCTCTCCCTTAGAACACATTCCCTTTCCCCAGTGCCCTTGCTCAAACTCAGCTCATCCTAGAAAACACACAGTTAGTGAGGAATACTGACGTGGCAGAAAGAGGTCCAGGACAAATGAACATCGCATAGCCTAGGATTCAGGCAGTAAGGTCCTCTCTCCCATACTTATGTTATAGCGCTACCCCATTTCTTTCACCTTGCTTCTCCGTGGGTGTTTAGATTGATTTGATAAACCAGGTCGCATGTGAGACTGTATTCTGTAACCTTTGCTTGGCTGGCTTCAGTCTTTCTTCTTTTGAAGCCACTGCTCAAAAACAATTCGATTAAGCTCAAAGAGAATTCCATCAGATTTAACAGTAACAACTATTTGTCCCAAATTTTCGTTTGAGAGCATTTATTGAGAGTAAAGCAAGCATTTGTGTTTCATTTAATTTCTTAATGATTTTTGATACTGCTTATATACATTATCAGGCAAAGGGGACGGGAGAGAACTAAAAAAGGAAATACCCAGAAGTTTCTCAAACATGCTGCATGTGAATGCCTTAGACATGAAGCGCTGACTTATAACTCTTTTTTAGCAATCCCTCAGGCTTCATTCATTCCATTATTGACTCAGTAAACGTGTATTAGGTAACAAGCCTGTCAGAGGCTATAGACAGAGGTGAGCAAGGATCGATCCGCCCTGGAAGAGCTTCGAAGACAAGTTTGTAGACATAACTTTGCAATTCAGCCCAAGAAGTACCGTTTCATTGTCACTCCAGAATGACTCTCCAACCTTCGCCACTAACTGCGAACCTTGTCAACCAGACCTCCTTCCCGACAGACTCTCCACTGGTTCCCGGCTAACCGCTGGCGCTTCGCGAGGACGGTTGGAAGACTACATCTCCCGGCAGCCTCTGCAGCAGGGTGGTGGAGAGGCGCGCGCAGGCGCGCGGGCCGGCCCCCGCACGCAGGCGTAGTGCGAAAGCCGGCTGAGCTGGGTCTCGCTGTGCTGGGTGCGCGGCGGTGTCGGCGAGCGAGGCCTGGTGAGCACCGCCGAGGCGCGAGCTGGGTCTTCGAGGTTGTGTGAGGGAGAGGCACGGCAGGCGAGCGAGCGAGCCAGAGGCTCACCCCAGCAGTGGCACCGGGATCGGCTGCCTTGAGCTTGGTGAGTGCGGGGCCGCGGCCCCCGGCCCCTCCCCCTCCCGCCGGGGGATCCGGCGGATCCGGTTGTGTGCGGGGGAGGCCCCGCGGTGAGGGCTGGCTGCCGGCAGTGCTCGAGCTCGGGTTCCTGGGCCTGGGCGCTCGCTGCGCGTCCGTGCGTCACGGGCCAGGCAGTCCCAACGGCCGCGCGGCCGGCTGAGAGGACGATGGGGGTGGGGAGCACTGGTTCGCCATCGGGAACGCCGGTGGAGGCGAGGCGAGGCGAGGCGGGGCGGGGCGGGGCGGCGCGGCGCGGCGCGGAAGCGGAGCTGGAAGCAGCGTCGGGGACTGCGGGGCGCCGAGGCAGCGGGGCGGAGAGGAGGGAATGCGCAGCCAGCGCCGCGGCCCGGCGCGAGCGAGCTGGGGGCGTGGGTGGGCCGCACGGAGTGCGGCGACTGAGGCAGGAAAGAGCAAGGGGTGGGGGGCGTGTAAAAATCCTAACCGAGGTCGGAGGGGACCGTCTCGGGAATTCACAAGTTACAGCCCGAGCCGGAGCCGGTGGTTTGGAAGCGGGGCGGGGGGGGGGCGCGGTGCGGGTGGAGACAGAAGGAGGACTGCAGTTTACAGATGTCATAACAACATGGGCCTGAAGCGTCTGACAGGGGTGTGGTAATTATAGGAATGACAGAACTTCGTCTGCACACAGCGTGTGTCAGTGGTGATGCAAGGGAAGCGGCGAGGTATTCGATTAAGCTCAAAATGGGAGGATGAAACTGAAGGATGATTGGAGTCTGGGAAGTCGTCATGAAGGAATGTTTTAGGTTTGAATGGAAGTATATGTAATGTTCCACTTTTAAGCGCACGATGTCAAAATAGTTAATTTTTTAAGATTTAAATTCAGAATAAACAGTTGGGAAGTATTTTTTTCTAAAACATACTATTAAATAACGTTTCTACCTTTTTCAAGCCTTTTTTCGTTTAGTGAGCACTGCCTTAAAAACCCCTATTTCTTCGCAGTAGATGAGTGATTCCCCGCCCCGCCGCCCCCCCTCCCCACGTTGCTTCAAGGCTCATTCTTGACATTGTTTTTTTCTTAACTTGTTCTTGTGTTTGTGATATTTTGAAAGTAATTCACAAGCTAGTCCCCCTCCATTTTAAAGATTGAAGAGATGAAATTTTAACTTTTCAAAGCAAATGGAGAATGAACTCTGTTGTACTTTTACTGAAATAATTTCTTCTTGGAAGGCACTTTTATGTGTAATACCGGCTTTTAAGGTGGAGAACATGAGGAAAGGTAAAGGAATTAACATTTATTGAGCTCCTTTCCAGATATTGTGCTAAATACTTTTTGTACAGTAAAACGTTAATGCTTACAGTAACTCTGAAGTATGTTATTTTTTCCTTTTCTACAGATTAAAGCTTCGAGGGTCAGAGAAGTTAGGTAACTTACCTAAGGTGTTCCAGCTCTTGTTAGAACCAGCCTTAGACCCAGAATCACTGCTAATTTAGGAATTATTTCTCCTCTCCTTGCATACTTCTTGGTTGCATTTTCTTTATTTGGTCCATTAATTCAGCGAATACTTGGAGTGTTCATAGGCCCTGAGACTGGGGATGTAGACATGATCAAGACACTGTTCTTTTTTTTTTAAACATCTTTATTGGAATATAATTGCTTTACAATGGTGTGTTAGTTTCTGCTGTATAACAAAGTGAATCAGCTATACGTATACATATATTCCCACATCTCCTCCCTCTTGCATCTCCCTCCCTCCCACCCTCCCTATCCCACCCCTCTAGGTGGTCACAAAGCACCGAGCTGATCTCCCTGTGCTATGCAGCTGCTTCCCACTAGCGATCTTTTTACATTTGGTAGTGTATATACGTCCATGCCACTCTCACTTCATCCCAGCTTACCCTTCCCCCTCCCCGTGTCCTCAAGTCCATTCTCTACGTCTGCATCTTTATTCCTGTCCTGCCCCTAGAAGACATTGTTCTTGTGTCTTGGTATTTATAGTGTTGCAGGGAAGACTAACAAATAATGAGTAAAAATGTTGACTGCATGACATTTTATCAGTCATAATTGAGCAGAAAGTGTACTAAATAGCAAAGGACGTTCAAATGGAATCAGACAACATAAGCCTTGAGGAGTTTACCTGTTGAATTAATGATAAAGTCTTGATGATTTATGATTTAGTGTTTTTAAGTCTTGTCAGATTGTTTCTAGAAGTATGTATGCTTTGTATAAAATCAACTAAGACTTTTTGCCATGCAAGTAAAGGTGACTGACATAGTGATGATAAAGGTAATTCCTTGTTAATCTCTTAGTTTTAAGGTTTCTGTACTTTGCAAGGTATTCTGAATTCAGTCATAATAATGGAAGAAAACATTGGAAATGGTAAACAATTCAGTTAGCTGATTGGGGGCTGACTTGCCTCTTTTCTTGCTGCAGTGAGCAGGAGGTGGCCCCAGGATAGTGAGGGACCAGATAGGACCGTCATTAGGAAATTTTAAGCCCTTGCAGTGAAAGAGCAGGGATGAAGACTCGTGGAATGTACAGTGTTTTTTTTGTTTTTGTTTTTTGTTTTTTTGCAGTATGCGGGCCTCTCACTGTTGTGGCCTCTCCCGCTGCGGAGCACAGGCTCCGGATGCACAGGCTCAGCGGCCGTGGCTTACGGGCCCAGCTGCTCCGCGGCATGTGGGATCTTCCCGGACCGGAGCACGAACCCATGTCCCCTGCATCGGCAGATGGACTCTCAACCACTGCGCCACCAGGGAAGCCCCCGTACAGTTTTTTGTTTGTTTGTTTGTTTTTAAAGATGATAACGACCCTACATGACAGACCTTAGTGACAAAATGGTTCTGATCTAGTGTAGTAGACTAAATGGGACAGTTCTTGAAAGCAGGCAATAATTCAAAATGTGGATAATGGGGATAATCTCCGTCACATAACAAGAATAATGCTGCTCTTCATATACAAAGATAAGTCTGCTTACTCATCATGATTGATTTTTCAGCATGAGGAGGGATATGTGCTGAGTTGTCCATGAGTCTCCGTATTCTGTGACCAGCAAGGCAGCTTGGGGTCAAAATGGGGGTTTTTAGCTAGGGAGCAGAAAGACAAGCAAAAGGTACTAACATCTGTTGATGGCTCAAGCACTGCATCAGGTGTTTTCGCTTAATTACCCTTGCAAAACCACTTTGAGAAGGTGGCTACAGGTACGGGATGGTTAGGTAACTTGCCCTACTTCACAGAATAAGTGATGGAGCTGCTATTCAGTCACAGGGCTATTTGTACTATGTTCACATCAATCATTAAAGCTTGATTTTTGTCTTGGTTTGCAGGGCAGTCTCCAGCAGAACAAACTAGGTGCAGTTTGTTTAACATCATGAAATGATATTGTGAAGATCTAATTTACTAAAAGCTGAAGGGCTATTGGAATTCCTTGCTTTACTGCCATTAAAAAATACAATTTTTAAATTAGAATATTCTCTGAAAACAACTGTCCCCTGTCCTAGCCTCTGCACTTTAGAGGCCACCAATTTCTTTCTTTTAGCTGTTTCCTCTTTCATATTTATAAATAACTTCTATTGCTATTTCTTGATACAGCAGTTCTAGACATTATCTATTGACTTTCCTCCACATTTACACACTGCCTCTCTCATCCTTTTAATATAGTTATCACAGGTGTTTATTAAAGTCAACGTTCATTTATAACTATGTAAATGTTTATAGCTGAACCATGTAGTATATTATGATATCATTTCTTCTCTTAACCAATTTTTGTTTTTCCAGGAGTAACACCTTTTTTTCCCACTTCCATTTCCATGAGATAGCTGTCCTGGAAGCTTCTGTCCTTTTAATGCAGTCTGGACTGGTTACTTTCTAGGTATACTTCACAGCTGTTATCCTGGAACTTTTCTTTATGTCGCCCTTAAAATTCTCTTTGCCCTTCTCCTGTATTGGATCTCCTGTTTCCCATATTTTCTTAACTTACAGAGAAAGGGTACCTGGGAAGCGAAAACTTTCTGAGATCTTGCATGATTGAAAAAAATCTATATTCTACCTTAACATTTCATCAGTAATCTGGCTGGGTATAAAAACCTAGGCTTAAAAAGTTTGGAAGTCATAGCTCCATTGTTTTCTGCATTTTAATGTTGCTGTTGAAGTCCAAAGGTGTTCTTATTCTTCATTTGTATGTGACCTTCCCTGCCTTCTCCAATCTCCAGAAGCTTTTAGGGTATTATTTTTAACCCCTGAAATTCCATAATGTCCCTAGATTTGATTGATTGATTGTTTGTTTGTTTTTCATTTAAGGGCACTTGATGGACCCTTACAAGCCGGGGATTTGTGTCCTTTAGTTTTGGGAAATTTATTTATTATTTATTATTATTATTGGGGCCTTAGGTAAAAAGAGTTTTAGAGTTAATTATGCTTCCCAGTTCTTGACACTGTCATCAAACTATACGAGGTCCTTTAAATTTTTCTCTTTCATTTCTGAGCCCTACATCCATTACCCTTTCTAGTAGGCACCCACTGCATTGTGGCTGATACATTCCTTGATTGTATGTGAATCATTGGGAAATACGTAGTGCGTTTTGTGTATTTAGTTTATATATTGTGTTATAGACCTTGTTCTGTTTCTTACTCTTTTTACTCAGCATTGTTTGGAGACCTTTCTGTTTCGTTGTGTGTACATATAGTTGTGTATAATGTAGAATTCCATAATGTGTGTCTACCACATTTTACTTTTTATTCCCTAATCACTGACACCTGAGTTGCCTCTCTGGCATCACAAGTACACTGTGGTAAATATACTCTTACTTGTACATCCTTGTGGACCTGTGTGAGAAGTTCTTTGGGATGTATGCCCAGGAGTGGAATTCCTGGGTCATAGGATAGGAGAACTAGTTTATGTGCCTGCTAGCAGTGAGGAGTTTTCTTGTTTGCCCATATCTTTGACAGTACTTGGTTTTATCCAACTTCTTAATTTTTGCTAGTCGGGTATAAAGTGGTATCTCATTGTT